CAGTAAAAGCAAACAGTAATATGACATTGACAGTTAAAATGTCATGTAGAACTAAAAAAAATTAAATTCTTATTTTCTCCCATTTTTTTCATATTAAATTATGTTTCATAGCTAAATATTTGATATTAAATGAAAGCCCTGTTTCCCCTGAATAAAATGATATATAATAAGGGTGGGTGCATTTACTATGAAAGAGGTGAATTACGGTTGGACAGACATGTAGCGCAAATGCCAGGTTTTGTTTACATTTTGTTTTGATCACAACGTGTACATTTGGCTCCGTCCTTAAGGGGTTAAGAATAAAAATTAAAAAAATTAAAAAAGAGTGAGAAAGATAGATTTGTCAGAAAGAGGCAAAGCAAGTTATAAGAGCTTCCAGAGCACATGCAGACGAGAAAATAGCCCAGTCAGTAAAAAAGGGTGATAAAATATTTTGTAGATGCATAAGTTAGAAAAGGAAAGTAAAGCAATGATTAGTTAGAATAAAACTAATAGAAGGAAGGTATGTAGAAGAGGATAAAGGTCTGACTGATGCAATTAATCTTTTTGTTTTGTGTTTACAGATTAAAATGAAGGAAAGGGACCTCAAAGAGTAATTTGTTACATATGTGAGTTTACAGAGGAAGAGGTTTCAGCTGTCTAAAATAAAGACAAATAAGTCAATGGGGCCTGATGGCATACACCCAAAGTTATTAAAAGAACTTACCGCTGTACTAGTAAAATCGTTAATGGGAGTAGTGCTCGAAGATTGGAAATTAACGAATTTGTGCCAATTCACATGAAAGGTAGTAGGGAGGATTTCAAGATCAGAGGCAACATGGGTTTACTTCAGGGAGATCATGCCAAATTAATCTTATTGATTTTTTTTGATTGGGTAGCTAAAATAATAGATCAGGGTGATGCAGTAGACATTGCTGACCTAGATTTCAGTAAGGTTTTTGACACTGTCACACATAGAAGGCTTATCAATAAACCGCAATCTTTATGTTTGGATTCCAATATTGTTGAATGGGTAAGGCAGTGGCAACAGAGGGTTGTAGTAAATGGAGTATATTCAAAGCAAAGTCTTGTTACCTGTGTGGTAGCTCAGGGATTTGTACTTGGAGCTATTCTCTTTAATATTTTTATTAGTTATATTGCAAAAGGTCATAATGTTAAGGTATGTATTTTTTCCGATAATACTAAGATATATAACAGGGTTGATTTTCCAGGAGGGATAAGCCAAATGGCAAATTATTTAGGTAAACGAGAGGCAGCTGACATTTAATGAGGATAAGTGAAAGATAATACATCTTGGGCGTAGAAACCCATGGGCAGAGTATATAATGCTTGATACAGTCCTAACATCAACGTCCGAGGAACAGGATTTAAGGGTAATTATTTCACGTGACTTAGGCAGACAATGTACTAGAGCAGCAGGAAATGCTAGCAGAATGCTTGGTTGTATAGGGAGAGGTATTAGCAGTAGAAAGAGGGAAGTACTCATGCCATTGTACAGAACACTGGTGAGACCTCACTTATTGTACGCAGTACTGGAGACCGTATCTCCAGAAGGATATTGATAATTTAGAGAGGGTTCAGAGAAGGGCTTCAAAACTGGTTCTTGGGTTGCAGGATAAAACTTACCAGGAAAGGTTAAAGGATGACATGATAGAAACATTTAATTGCATAAAGGGAATCACAGTAAAGGAGGAGAGTGTATTTAAAAAAAATAAATAAAAAAAATAAAAATACCACAACAAGAGGATATAAGTTTCAGTTAGAGGGCCAAACGTTTAAAAATAATATTTGGATGTATTACTTTACTGAGAGGGTAGTGAATGCATGGAATAGCTTTCTAGCTGAAGTGGTAGAGGTTAATAAAGTGAGGGAGTTTAAGCATGTGTGGGATAGGCATAAAATAAGGCCAGGGACTAATGAAAGTATTTAGAAAATTTGGCTGATTAGATGGGCTAAATGGTTCTTATCTGCTGTCACATTCTAGGTTTCTAAAATATTTTTAAAACGAATACCTCAAAAAAAAAAATAAAAAAAAAAAAATAAATCTTTCTCCTCTATAAACCGAAAGACTCATTCACTTCTTCTGGAAATATTTTGATAAGCAAACCTACAATGGTGGCATATAGGGCCTTGGAAGAGACCTGGAGAAAAATCAAACCTCTGTCCTGGTGTATAGTACTTCATAAAATTAGGGAAGCAATTTTGATGGATCACTTAAACACTCTAGTTCTTATCACAATGGTTTTTTAATGTATAGAAACATAGAATGTGACGGCAGATCTAGTCTTCCCAATTTTCTAAATACTTTCATTGGCCTTATCTTATAGTTAGGATAGCCTTATGCCTATCCCACGCATGCTTAAACTCCTTTACTGTGTTAACCTCTACCACTTCAGCTGGAAGACTATTCCATGCATCCACTACCCTCTCAGTAAAGTAATACTTCCTGATATTGTTTTAAACCTTTGTCCCTCTAACTGAAGACTATGTCCTCTTGTTGTGGTAGTTTTTCCTTCTTATAAATATGGTCTCCTCCTTTACGGTGTTGATTCCCTTAATGTATTTAAATATAGAAAGTCATATATAGAGTCACACTGGTTTCCTGGTTGCGAGCAATCATGGACTCAGGGGTTCCTATTTCCCTCTCCCCTTCCCCACTTCATTTTTCATGCTTATTTAATTTCTATGTGTATCCTTTATCTGCTCTTTTGTTGATATGGTTATATAAAATTTTATTCCATGGCACATAATCAGGTTGATGATTTTAAATCGTGGTTTGTCTGTATGACCCGCCATTAGCTCAAATGTTTTTTTGTTGTTTTTTTAAAATGCGGGTGCCCAATCATTCCAATATACAAACGTAATAGAAAGTTAGATACAGTTCTCAAAAGAAATTGCAATAAATCAAGAATTTACCAGGTGGGGGTTGCATTGGCACTGGCTGAACAATATATGGAGCACTGTTCATATGCTTGGCATCCATCCCTGGTTGAGGAGGTGGCGGTTGTGGTGGATATGGTTGTGGAGGATATGGTTGTGCAGGATATGGTTGTGGAGGATACGGCTGATGACCATATGTTGCCTCTTCATATGAAGGAGGGGCTGATGGGACCACATATCCACCTGGTATTGGCTGATAGTTTGTTGGACCTTGCATTTTGCCTAGGAAAGCAAATAAGAAGTCCTTGGTCATAAAAAGCAGTTAGTGATATAGGTCAAATATTACACAGAACAGAATTATGTATTAAAGAGGGTTTTTTTATGTTAAACAATAACATTACTTACATACCTCCTGAAAGACATATCAGGGACTTACAGAACTTGTTTACAGCCATGAAGAAAGGTGTTAGCTTGGAAAGGTGGGGACGGGGGGGACATGTGCACCAAGTTTCTTTTGTAATGTATTAATATTCAAACTTTCAAAGAAAAGGTTAATGAAGTACCTTAAATACATTAATTATCTCTCAGCATCCAATGATAAAATTATTGCCATTATGAGAACTAGCACTGATTTATAGCAGGACTCAAAAAATCCCAGGCGCCAGGTCACCATGGCGACTAGAAATTTCCCCCGGCGCCTGGGATTTGCTGCGGGAGCATTGGGCTGAGGCCCAAAGTTAGGGAGACTGGGTGGATTTAAATAATAAAAACAAACAAAAAATAACGTCAGTTTGTGAGTGTTTGAGAAAATGTGTGTGTCAACACGTCAGAGGCTGTGTGCGCATGTGTATGTATGTATGCATCTGTTTAGGTACCTGCCCCCCCATTCACATGAGAAAGGTGTTTTTACTCACCTTTTTTCCCATGCCATGCCAGTTTCGCTGCGGCTGGTCTTGCCTTCATGGCAGAGACTATTCATCTTTTTGATCTCAGCTAAGCCAATGCTTTCCAATAAGAAAGCATTGGAAGGATAGTGCGCATGCGCAGCAAAACACCGGTGCTTTTCCTTAGAATCTCTAAGGGGAACATTCAGCACCTCCATGCAGATCTTGGAAACGCTGAATGTGGATGCTGCACTGTGTAGCAGTGACCCAGGACTCTAGTGACTGTCACTAGAGGTTTTACCAAGCAGAAATGTAAACACTGCCTTTTGGCTGAAAAGGCAGTGTTTACATTGAATAGCCTGCAGGGACAGGCTATAGACAACAGAACAGCTACATTAAGCTGTAGTACTTCTGGTGACTATAGTGTTCCTTTAAGAATGTTTCTCGTTGAAAATTAGTTAAAAAAAAATTAAAACCTGGCTCCTAACTTTATTAGCTGGCTCCTAGATTTCAAACAAAATTTGTCAATCCCTAATTTATCGACCAACCACTACTGAACCCAGACAAAGTCCCATGAGTGCGTGGTTTAAGTAGTTATATAGGCTGTCGAAGTGGTAGTCTGTGAAGTTTCATTCCAATTATTTACAAGTACATGGTATTCCCAAAAATATTTATCTTCATGTCTGGGCTAATTTGCATCAGGACATCAATAACGTAAAACTATGCTATGCAATGTGAGCATAATTCTGTCCCAGCATTGCAGGGTTTAAAGTGTGGCTGAAAACCCCTTCCACCTGAAATAAGTGGATAGTTAAAGGACCACTATAGTGCCAGGAAAACAAACTTGTTTTCCTGGCTCTATAGGGTCTTTGGGTCCCCCCCCCCACCCTCTGGGCTCCACTCCCGCCAGGCTGAAGGGGGGAGGAAGGGGTTAAACGCTTACCTTTCTCCAGCGCCGGGCTCCCTCGGTGCTAGGGACTCTCCTCCCTCTTCCGACGTCATCCACCGCATGCGCGGCAAGTTCTCTCTGAAACTGCTATGTTTACAGCTGCAGGGTTACCCCTAGATGGACCTGGCACCCAGACCACTTCGTTGGTGCCTATAGTGGTCCTTTGATGCAATGTTAAACACAAATACACAAAAAAAAAAAAAACAAGTCTTACGGGTTTGGGTTGTATGCAGCAGTGAGAGCACTGTTAAAGTAAGATTTCTGTGGTAAAAAGCAAGTCTTCTCTAGTGTGTGTATTTGTGTATGTATATATCAAAAATAGAAAAGTCCTTGCACTCACGCTTGGATGATTTAGTAACCGGGTGCTTGTAATCCAGGAAAATTCAAATAGTGATCAGCACTCTCAGATTTGATCACTATTTGAAATAAATATATATATATATTTTTTTTTTTATACAATTCTTTATTTTTGTTGTGTGAAGGATCAACAAAAATGCATATGATGCAACAACAGCATGTATAAGCATATGAACAAGAGTAATAACGAGGCATTTGTGGAAAGCTGCACATTTTTCCTTATGGGATAACAAGCTAAATAGAGGTGTCCACTTAATCCACTTAATAAACAACAGCTAGGTACTTGGTTAGCAAGGCATAAGTAGGCACGTGTAAAACATAGCATACTAGTCACTGGATCTGCTCGCACTGTCACAGATGCATTTTGTTGTATTAGGCTGAAGCTAATATGATGGTCTTGAAATATTTAGACAAAAGTTAAGAAAACTAGCTAGGTCTAGCATGTCACTACGAAATTAGAGGGTCGGATTGGTGTCCACTCCGCCAGGGTAGACCCCACAGTAAGAGCTGGTAGGTTGTCCAGGTAATGAAAGGGAAGTTTAGTCAATTCCTTGGCATGTTAAGCTCACTGTGGTAGACTTGTTTAGTTAGCCACATTGGAGTTAGGGTGCCCCCCAGCCCCAGGCTGTTATCCCAGCCAGCATCAGTAAACCACGGACCAAGGGGCTCTCAAAGTCCAAGTCCTTCCCCATAGGGGAATAACAGAAGACCCAGGTGTTGTAAGGCCGCTGAGTATGGTCAGTCTTCTGTCTGTGTGGACGATGAACTAGATTCTCAGTCCAGGTGGTCGTTGGCCCAGGTGGGCTAGTGGTAGCAGGAACACGTGCTGGTGAAGGTTGATTGCTCAAGGTGGGCCCTTTCTCCTCCTGGCTCTCACTCCTCCGGTCACCTTCTTGAGCTGGAAGCCTCTAATGACATACAGAAATTCTCAAAAATCTCCTCCAAGCAACTCAGGGATTGAGCAACCCAGTCATGAGTTGTTCTCTTGGACTGTGGGGGCTTGTGGTCAAGGAGCAGTCGCCATCTTGTATGGACGAAATACAGTCAGATTTCACATAGGTACAGCAGCAGAGGTAAATGCTGGGAGCCAGTGGGGACTGTGTTAACCCCCTCCAGTCCAGAGGGCGGGGGGGGACAGGGTGCAAGGTTTCTCCGTGCTGGCTCAGGGATGTGCAGGACGGATGATTGGCTGCTTTACTGGCCCGATGTTTACAGGCAGCGCAGGAGCCACCGGGATTTGCAGAGTAGGTGATTCGTAAAACTGATAGCGAGCACCCCGGCTGGCCCCAGAGACAGGTAAGTCTTAGAATAGTGCAGACTGGTGTGCTGGGAGTTTAAACAGCTTAAAATAAGGAACATTCTAGAAGCTCATCCGACAAACGTCCAGTCACCGTAAGGGTCAGGCCCCGCCCTCCCAATTAAGCTTTTTTGGTGTGTAAGTTCTAGTTAAAAATTAGAGCGGTGTAACACAAATTCTGTCACTCCAGCTCAAACATTCCTATGTGTTAAGTGAATGTGCATGATAAATTATAGCAAAGAAGATTTGGCAAGGGAATGAAGTAAAGGGCAGTTTTTTGTTTTTAAACAAAGTACAAAACACACAATCACACAATTTCAGCTCAAAAAAAAAAAAAAAAAAAAGAGGAGCTTTTATCAAGCAAGCCAGCCCACAGAGGGTGGACCGTACAGTGAATGCAGCATGAGTTCATCTACTAATGTGCACACACTACACTGTTGGGGGACAGTTCCACTGGTGTCTCCAAAAGCAGAACACCAGGGAACAAAATCTGGACAAGATCCAAAAAACAGGACGGTCCTGACGAAATTGGGATTGGGGGGGGAGGCATGTGGATTCAATGTTTCTCTATAAGAAACATCAACTGGCTGAGCAACAGGGCCCCAAAATCATTTTTTTTTTTTTAGGAGACGCATTGAACTGGATTGTAGAACATCTGGACAAAAGATCTCAGATGGGGTGGGGTGGCTGCTGGCGCTTGATTAACAGTCTGTTTAACTGGTAGTTTATTTTTAAAGGAGGTGGTAGAAAGAATTAAAAAAATAAATAAAATAAATAAAATAAAACCACACAACCAAAACACAAGTGCAAAAAATCTCTTTAAGTTATCAAGTGCTTCCAAAGTATATATGCAAGTGTTTGTGCAGTAAGTTCCCCTTTAAAGTGCAAATTATCGAGTGAATATTATAATTGAAGCGCAGCCACGATAATTACATTTGCATTATAAATAAAAAAAATTCCCAAACACTTCTGTGTGTGTGTGTGTGTGTGTATGTATATATATACACACACACACACACACACACACACACACACCTCTTAAAGTTCTTCATTATGATAATGTTAAAGCACTAAAGGATAGATAACTAAAGATAACTTACAAACCTTGTTAAACCTGCTTCCACTTTGTAAGAACTGGAAAGATGACACTAAGCACAGAAATCTAGAAATTGACCTAGATCTCAAACTGCTGTAAGCCCCTGCACTTTTATGTGCATTCCAGAGCATAAAAAGACAACATAAATAACTGTAATGATGTGATCTTTATGAAAAACTCAATAATAACACTGCTTGTCTAATTTCCACAGTATCAGGGAGCCAGGAGAGATCATTGGACACAAAATATACTACTACTAAAACACAGACATTCAGAAAATGTGTGTATATGTGTGAAAGTTTACACAGGGTGTGGTTGTAGTGGCACTTTAATATGTCGAGGCATGTGTATGCAAGTATGAAGATGAATATAGGTTTGTGAAAGCATGTATATACATAGGTGAATGTTGTAAAAGCAATTTTTCTATTTATTTTTAAACTGGCTCACCTATATAACCCATTGAAACTGAGGGAAAACCCAGCAAGTGCCAGACACTGGGACTTTTTTTTAACCAATGAAATGGCAAACACACTGCATGCATAATTTTAACTCTACAACTACCAAACTAAGAGGGTGGCCACGGGAAGCACTGTTTTAACTCCACAACTGCCAAAGTCATAGGAGTCGGGGGATAAACCCACGACTAATACTCAGATGTTGAAACCACCCATACATGTTCCTCATGGTTATATCTTAAAGTAGCACTTCCACTGTCTGGAGATTATGCATGATTTGCAAAGACCCCTGATGGTGACATTGCCGCTGGTGGTCCGGTGGGGGTTGGACAGGGAAAGGTGAGATTTATAATCTGGACCAGTCTCTCACGGGCACCGCCTTTTTCTTCGGGCCAGTCCTCGTCTTTTCACACATGCACCAGAGTGCAGCATTGTTGTCTAAGGAGGATCCCGTAAGATCCTCCATATATACAGCCAATATCTCTGCAGCCGTCAATGGTAGCTCGGCCCAATGTCTAGAAGTGTCAGGCGTAAAAAAAATTCTGAGACAAAATTGTCCCTACTTTGTCTCAGTATTCCTCCTCGCAGAAGTAGGAGGTAATGTCACTGCTGTACTCTGGCGCATGCAGGGGGAGTAAAAGTGGCGCTTTAAAGGGTTACTCCAGTGCGCCAATGACAGACAAATTTTATGCGCATTATTGATATTAGTCTGGAACAGAGTTCATGGATGCCTAATTCACCTGTACCGCATCCAGAATACAAGTACAGATTTCTTTGTATGTGCAACATTTCAAGCAGAAACGCTGCACATACAGAGTCTTACCACCATGACCATTTCAAATCACTGAAGTGGTCATGGTGGTTGGAGTTAGCCTTTAAAGGTCGCTACATGGATAAGGTCAGACACTTGGAAGTAGACTGAAAAGGGACTGCCAAGAGTTTAAGCTAGTTTGTATTATGGAGCTCCTGACTGACAGCGCCAATTTAATAGTACAGACAACTGTTAAACCTGATGTTAAAATGGCCCTGCAACATAGAAAGAAATGTGGGTGTCAGTTGACCTTTTTAAGTCATCATGGCAACCTGGAAGAAGAGGTAAGACAAAGATGTGGCAACTTATGTTATGTAGTCTAAAATTATGGGCATGCAAACATGCAGAGTCTCAATACCCTGCCACTGGGAACAGGCAGATAAATTCACATGTGTGAGAAGATTTATGGAGGATCCAGATATGCTTATAGATTCAAACTTGCACATACTTCATACAAACATATCACTCAAACTAGAAATTTCATTTTTTTGCTGCATGTTCATAATTAGGAGTCCAAAATCTGCCAACTCATGCACTACAATAATAAATAATTAGGAGTTAATTGTCCTGCCCAAGTTGGGAAAAACCAGAACATTTGCAATACATGGTCACACTTACGGCACCTGAGAGTAAAAATTAACATTTCAAGATGTGAAGTTTTGTTAACTATGGGTGGAAGATATCACATTTTTTAATACAGCTTTATGATTATTCATATACACATGATTTATATATACAGGGAGTGCAGAATTATTAGGCAAGTTGTATTTTTGAGGATTAATTTTATTATTGAACAACAACCATGTTCTCAATGAACCCAAAAAACTCATTAATATCAAAGCTGAATATTTTTGGAAGTAGTTTTTAGTTTGTTTTTAGTTTTAGCTATGTTAGGGGGATATCTGTGTGTGCAGGTGACTATTACTGTGCATAATTATTAGGCAACTTAACAAAAAACAAATATATACCCATTTCAATTATTTATTATTACCAGTGAAACCAATATAACATCTCAACATTTACAAATATACATTTCTGACATTCAAAAACAAAACAAAAACAAATCAGTGACCAATATAGCCACCTTTCTTTGCAAGGACACTCAAAAGCCTGCCATCCATGGATTCTGTCAGTGTTTTGATCTGTTCACCATCAACATTGCGTGCAGCAGCAACCACAGCCTCCCAGACACTGTTCAGAGAGGTGTACTGTTTTCCCTCCTTGTAAATCTCACATTTGATGATGGACCACAGGTTCTCAATGGGGTTCAGATCAGGTGAACAAGGAGGCCATGTCATTAGATTTTCTTCTTTTATACCCTTTCTTGCCAGCCACGCTGTGGAGTACTTGGACGCGTGTGATGGAGCATTGTCCTGCATGAAAATCATGTTTTTCTTGAAGGATGCAGACTTCTTCCTGTACCACTGCTTGAAGAAGGTGTCTTCCAGGAACTGGCAGTAGGACTGGGAGTTGAGCTTGACTCCATCCTCAACCTGAAAAGGCCCCACAAGCTCATCTTTGATGATACCAGCCCAAACCAGTACTCCACCTCCACCTTGCTGGCGTCTGAGTCAGACTGGAGCTCTCTGCCCTTTACCAATCCAGCCACGGGCCCATCCATCTGGCCCATCAAGACTCACTCTCATTTCATCAGTCCATAAAACCTTAGAAAAATCAGTCTTGAGATATTTCTTGGCCCAGTCTTGACGTTTCAGCTTGTGTGTCTTGTTCAGTGGTGGTCGTCTTTCAGCCTTTCTTACCTTGGCCATGTCTCTGAGTATTGCACACCTTGTGCTTTTGGGCACTCCAGTGATGTTGCAGCTCTGAAATATGGCCAAACTGGTGGCAAGTGGCATCGTGGCAGCTGCACGCTTGACTTTTCTCAGTTCATGGGCAGTTATTTTGCGCCTTGGTTTTTCCACACGCTTCTTGCGACCCTGTTGACTATTTTGAATGAAACGCTTGATTGTTCGATGATCACGCTTCAGAAGCTTTGCAATTTTAAGAGTGCTGCATCCCTCTGCAAGATATCTCACTATTTTTGACTTTTCTGAGCCTGTCAAGTCCTTCTTTTGACCCATTTTGCCAAAGGAAAGGAAGTTGCCTAATAATTATGCACACCTGATATAGGGTGTTGATGTCATTAGACCACACCCCTTCTCATTACAGAGATGCACATCACCTAATATGCTTAATTGGTAGTAGGCTTTCGAGCCTATACAGCTTGGAGTAAGACAACATGCATAAAGAGGATGATGTGGTCAAAATACTCATTTGCCTAATAATTCTGCACTCCCTGTAGAGACACACACGCCTGCATTATTCACCCCAGTACAGAGGATTTACTGGAATTAAACTACTATTGCATGTCACTGTCAGAGAAGTGATAGTTATACTTTACTTAAAGTAGGAAATGGCCTATAAAATGCCGACAAAACCTTGCAATGAGGTCCTAAAGTTTATAAGAGTGTAATATAATGCATTTTATTTGTTTTTATATTTTCATCAAAATTGGGATGGCATAAAAAGCTTATCTAAAACAGGTGGATATTAAAATGGTTGTTACAAAGAAATGGAGGAACGTTGTCCATGGTTTAAACCCAATTTCTAAAAATGGTCTAAAGCAAATTAATAAATAAATGAGACCCAGTAAACTAGAAAAATCTCAAGAAAAACGCTCAAGAATGTTACAACAAATAAACATATGTTAATTGTCAGAGAGGAAACCACAATCAAAATAAGTCCCCCTCCCCCCCACAATAGTTACATTGGTAAATTTTTGAAACACTGGTCTCTGCAAATTAATATTCTCAGTGTGAACTTCCACCTGACAAACTGTCCATGTTCATTAAATCTCTCACGCACCATGATCACTGCAGAGATATAAAGGTGCCTGGAGTCTGTATGTTTAGCTCTTCACTGTGAAACACACTGCACATACAGAGTTTAATCCTTTGGCTACAAGGGTTGTAACGGCACCTCTTGCAGGGCCACGGGGTGTCATCAGCTAGTCCAGAACTAGACCTTTTTTCACACAGTGTGCTATTCACTGGCTGACAGCAGTAAGCTGATGCTCTCAGCCAATGGCTGGAAGAGTTTCACCTAACCATTTCAGAAGACTAACAACTGCTTAACTGTTTGCCCCACTACTCTGACGTCAGCTAAACTGTTTGACCCATTACAAGGGAATTGGGCCAGGGTCATGGGTGTCCACAGGAATTTTTCTGGGGGGAAGGGGGTCATAATTGTAATGACATCCATGCTTGGCCCCTTTTTGACAGTGTCATGAAGGGGAGGAGCATATTCATTATCACATAAAGCCAGGGTGAATAGCGTTTTCACAACTATGGTGTCAGGAATACATGTTTGTATTCCTGACACTATAGTGTTCCTTTAAGCAAATTAAAGGAACATTCTGGTCACCATAACAACTTCATCTAAATGAAAATGCTATGATGCCAGGAGGCCCCTGGGTGCTCGCTTTCCTTTAATGGGTTAAACCGCTCTCAAATGGTTTAAACCCAAAAGGTTTCCTCCAGATCTCCAGGTCGCTCAGTGGTATTCGGCTTCTGAAACGGAGTGTCAGGAAGTGCAGATTGACGTCAGGCATGGGTGCCGCTGATTGGCTAGAGTGGTCAGCTGACGCTCTAAGCCAATGGCTAGTTCCCGATTCATAGTTTTTTTTACGTTTTTATGAATGGGGAGCTACTGATTGGCTTAGAATGCCAGCTGACCGTTGTAGCCAATCAGCGGCACCTCTACCTAGCGGCCCTCTGTGTTTCCTGACACTCAGTAAATAAAAGTGAACACATTAACACTGATATGTTTTTTTTACCTGGGGAGATGAGAAGGTCCAATGTTTCCTGCCAGGCCCAGGTACCAAAGCCTTATGATGTGGTGTCCAGAATGACACCACTTCACTTGTCCTTCCTGCTCCAATCTCATTTTCTTCTCCATTTGACACAGTCTTTTTCTTCGGACACTGTCTTCTCTCCTCCTTGGCTCCTTCTGCTCCTTTACTTTTCTGCTTATTTTGCACCTTTCTGCTCCTTTCTCTTTCTGATCCCTTTCTGCTCCTTCCAGAGCTTTCCTTCTCCTTGCAGGCCCTTCCTGCTAATTTCTGTTCCTTTTCCTACTTTACCTTTGTGCTCCTTCTGCCCCTTCCAGGTAATTGTTGACCCTTTCTGCTCCTTGATTTCCCTTTCTGCTCATTGCAGACTCTTCCTCCTTCTTGCTGCCCCTTTCTGTTCCTTCTCCTACTTTACCTTTGTGCGCCTTGCTGCCTCTTCCTGCTCCTTGCTGACCCCTCCTGCCCCTTGCAAACCTTTATTACCGCTTCCTGCTCCTTGCTGACCCTTCTACTTCACCCTCCTGCTCCTTGCAAACCTTTCCTACCGCTTCCTGTTCTTGCTACCCCTTCCGCTCTGCCCCTTGCAGAACCTCTCTGCTCCTCCTACTTTACCTTCCTGTAGGCTGTCTCCCCCCCATCCCTCACTTACCTGATCTGTAGACTGCCCCCCCATCCCTCACTTACCTGGTCTATAGGTTGCCCCTACCCCCCCTTCCCATGCTTGCTGGCTGCACTCTGTGCTGCTCCCCTGCAGATGCAGTCAGGAGAAAGAATCAGGGATAAGCTGTAGCTTCCTAACCCTGCCTTTCTCCATTCACCTACTGGCCAGCGCCGGTATTGCAGTTTATTATCACACAAACGAAAAATAGCAGCACAAGCTTAATGATGACCTCTCCTCCCCCGCCGGCGCTAGCGGAGCCAAATGCGCATGTGTGGCAAATGCTTTCCTATGGACGCTCTGCGCGATGGAGGCATAATATGCCTCAAGCATCGCAGATGCGCCTCTAGTGGCTGTCCGGAAGACAGCCACTAGAGGCTGGCTTAACCCCAAATGTAAACATAGCAGTTTCTCTGAAATTGCTATGTTTGCATCTGTAGGGTTAAAACCTGAGGGACCTGGTACCCAGACCACTTCATTGAGCTGAAGTGGTCTGGGTGACTATAGTGTCCCTTTAATTTATATATATAAAAAAAAAAAAAGTGCCGATTTCTATTGAAATTTGAACTTTTTTCCTTCACTTTTCACACGTCAAGGATTTCAGTAAGCAAAAGACGTTAGGGATCCGGAGTGTCCCTTTAAGTCCAAAGACTCTGTATAGGATTCCAGTTTCTTGACCCCGACTTGTCCTGATTACTCTTGGTAAAGTGCTTTTACCGACCTATGGGTATGTTACACGGACTACTCTGATTTCTGGAACCCCTGACTTTGGCCTGTCCTTGTTTAGGGTAAGATCTGCCATTATAAGTTGACTGCATCAAACAGATCAAAATACTCATTTGGAAGTACTATATTACTGTGCCTTGCTGGGGGATAGCAGCTAAATCATGCTAATTAATCCTCACTACTTCACTGACTGATGCAATCCAAGTTATCATCTCAACTCATTTATGTTATGTTCCTCATATAAATTGATTTCATTATTACCACTGTAACCATTTCCGTGTTGATTATTTTCAATTGCTTTGTCTTTCCTTCTGCTTCATGCAACACAGTGTCATGATGTGTCATTGTAAATGCAAGAATGGAGTTGTGAAGAGCTTAAGTATGTTCTGTTGTTACCACTGTAACCATTTCCGTGTTGGTTATGATGCAACACTTTGCACAACAATTCAAGTGCAACATGTATTGCATATCTGGACACGCTAAATCCCTGCATGGAAATTATTTGCCTGACTTCAATAAACATGATACATTCAGAAAGTGAAAAACACACACAAAATACTAAATTGGCCAAGGTTTTGTAACGAAGTGGCTTCTAAAAATAGACTGAACTCACCCCTTTTACTATAATGTGGGTTGTCTACTTTTGAAGTACCCAAGTGGTAGTTTTCTTTCCTGGGCTGCAACAGAGGGCCAGTAAACCAATCTGGCAAAATTCAATGTTAAAGAATTGGAATGAGGAATCCCCATGTTCAGAATTAGGGATCGACCAATATTGATTTTCTAGAGCCGATACCGATAATCTGTGAACTTTCAGGCTGATAGCCGTTAACTTGCCGATATTCTGTACATTTACCATTTTGAAAAAATAAACTAATTCTAAAGGTACATGCACAAAATATACATACCACATGTAGTGGATGAAGTGTGTTTAGACAGGGGAGCTGTGTGTATATAATGAATGCAGTGTGTGTATTTGTATATAGTGAATGCAGAGTGTGTGTGTGTGTGTAGTGTGGGTAAAGTAAATGCAGAGTGTGTGTATAGTGTGTGTTTGTGTAGTGTGTATATATATATATATATATATATAGTTATATAGTGTGTGTGTGTGTGTGTGTGTGTGTGTATGTAATGATGCAATTAGTGTAGAATGGGGGGGGGTGAATTTTTTTATTTAAATTTTGTTTTTTAATATTTAAAAAAAAAATTTTTTGTTTAGTCCCCACGTCCCTGCTTCTTACCAGGGAGGGGGGATATAGTATTCCCTGGTGGTCCGGTGGTTTGTTAAGTACTGGGGGGAGCGGCAGGAAGCTGTTTCTTACCTTTCTTGCAGCTTCTCCCGCTCCCCAGTGTAAATCTTGCATGGCAACGCTCTGCGGCCGCGGGACTCGTGATATTTGCACTGGGGAGCTGCAAGAAAGGTAAGAAAGCTTCCTGCAGGCCCCCCCAGGGGAGGTATTATCGGCAATATCGGTATCTATATTGGCCGATACCGATATTGCCAAAAATACCGAATATTGGACGATAATATCGGTAAAACCGATAATCGGTCGATCCCTATTCAGAATTGTCACTTCCAAAACCCCATAAAACCTGTACATTGGAGTTATTGCTATATTTACCAGAAATCACTGAACCAAAAACATGCATGTTTTATAGCAGTAAAACATACAAGGATGATTAACACAGTGAAGTTGCAGAGTTCATGAGAAGAAGAAAAAAAAACCCACAAGGTGTGGACAGGTATTGTGACTATATTGTGACTAAGGGTCTACTAAAAAAAGGCTGTACACCGCCATTTTGGAATACCCTGGGTTACCTGTTTACTTTTGCAAATGGTATGCCAGGATGGAGTAATGCAGTTAGCTATACTCCCTCAAAATTATATATCCCCAGAATATCAACTTGTCAAATTTCCATGTGTTCCAGCCCGGCAGTCCTGGGGGGGCCAGCAGCAAGCGCTTACTTACCTTTCCAGCAGCTCCCTTCAGCTCCCCTGTGTAAATCTTGCGAGTCCCGCGGCCGTCAGAGAGTTGCCACGGGTTACCATGGCAATACTCCGCGCGGCACACAGGACACAAGAGTTACACAGGGGAGCTGCTGGAAAGGTAAGTAAGAGCTTGCGGCGGGCCCCCTCTGTACTTTCCATGACACCAGTCCACCAGGGAATACTATATCCCCCGTCCCTGGTAAGAAGCAGGGAGGGGGGGGACTAAAAAATAAATAAAACATTTAAATATTAAAAAGAAAATAAAAATAAAAAAATGCCCCACCCACATTTTACACACATTACATCCCTACACAAACACACTGCATCCACTATACACACTACACACACACAGCTCCCTGTCTAAACACACTGCATCCACTAAATGTGGCATATATATTTTGTGCATTTACCTTTAGAAAGTTTATTTTTTCAAAATGGTAAATGTACAGAATATCGGCAAGTTATCAGCTATCGGTCTGAAAGTTGACAGATTATCGGCTCTTTAAAAAAACCAAAAAAACAATCGGTCGATCCCTACATGATATACTACAAAGATCAACAGCAGGAAACAACATAGAAGAATGCACAAGAACCATGAAAGGATATCCTTCAAGTAGAACAGAAATTTTAAATTGTAAAAACAAATAATGACCTAGGAATCTGGATGTATTCCTGACCTTATAGTGCTAAAACCATAATTTAGGCCCCTTAAAAAAAAGTAATAAAGCCTGCAGCACAGCCCCAGGAAGCTCCTCTAGTAGCCATCTAAAGTAGTGACCACTGGAATCGGCCCTAGGGGCCAATGTAAACAGAGCCTTTTCTCTGAAAAGGCAGTGTTTATATGAAAATGCCTGCAGGGAATGAGTATACTCACCAGAACAACTACATTAAATTGTAGTTGTTCTGGTGACTATAGTGTTCCTTTAAATATGATGCACTAACAAGGTACGTGAAAGAGGTGATATTGCACAAACAGCAGATAATGTGTGTGGCTAGTCCTATACAATCTCTATCCTATAAATTGCATAGTACACCAAATCATTGATTTTAGGGTATTGCATGAACCTATATTAGATACATACTGTGCTAACCACAACGAAATCCTGCACCCACAACAATAACCGCACATATGGAGCATTAAAGTGGCACTGTCACAAATGATATAATTGGAGGGGTTATTTCTCTTACAGGATTACAAGGTACTTGCTAACAATAAAACGGTGCCAAAATCAGAGCTGGGGCGGTTTAGGATCCCACTCAGGGCCCATTGTAAAAAAAAAAAAAAAGGAACTGCAGCCCCAGATTTCACAAAGTAGTCGATTTATTCCACTAAAGTGGACTCTGCTATTTTTTTGACCATTCAGGAGCTTTGTCCAACTATGTTCCGGACTACCTAATGTCAATTCTGTGCATATTTTACATCTGACAGCATGCTGACAACAGATTTAACAATTTTTCCCTAGCAGGCAGAAAACTTGTAAGGGGAAGCTACCTATCCCATCCAACTCCGTGGGCGCTGCCTCCCTCCATTGCTCCCATTTGATTTTTTTTTTTTTTTATTAAAAATAAATTAAAATCCCACCTTTCCTCCCCTCTATGAGAAGCCTGTGATTGGGCCGTGCAAAGCCCCCTGTGACGTCAGACGAGGAAGGAGATCAGCAATCAATTCAAGGTAAGTGATAACTTTTTTTTCCCTATGGCGGAGAACCTAACAGCTATGCCCAATAGGGCATTGTTAGTCTACAAAGGAAAACTGTGCACATGGTTTAGAGTAACTCTTTAAATTCAGGACTCCATTTTAAACTATGAATGAGGGAACGATTGGATCTCTAAAAAAGATAATATACCCTTTGGTCATGGTGTTATAAAGAGAAAAGGGGTTAGTTTTTATAGGTAGGGAAAGGACAAGTTTTTTTTAATTTTATTTTCATTTTTCTGAGGTGAGGAAGTTTTGCATTCTTACTTGGACATCCAAATATGTGTATAGAGTGAGCACACAATGAGTGCTCATGCCACTCAAATTTAAACAAACAAAAAATCATCACACTACCAGAAAATGAGCATTGAGTGCACATACTGCACTATCCCCTGCTCTCCTCTCACAATATGGGATCATTCGGGCATTCTGAGCAAATATCCTGCATCTATTCGATCAAGAGTAAACACGCTGAGCGGTGCAAGGTGTAGGGCTGTGTGGGTGAAAGCACATGGCAAAGTTTCTGCTAATGTAGATTACTGAATGTTTGTGCTGTACAAATATATGGATAGCATAATGAGAAAGCAAAGCTTTTTATTCCGCAGTACAGCTGTAGTCACACATGGCCATCTTTCTCCCACCCCCCATCCCATGTTGCTGAAGGTGAAGATTCACTTACCTGAATCCAGCGCTGATGTCCCTCGGCGCTGGGTCAGGCTCCGCCCATGCCGACGTCAGACGGTGGGGGAGACCTGCCGCGTGCGCCCATTAGACCTCCCCATAGGAAAGCATTATTCAATGCTTTCCTATGGGGATTCTGGCGACGCTGGAGGTCCTCGTGTATAGCGCGAGGACGTCCAGCGCCGTTTAAAGCACTTTTTGGGTTTTAAGAACCCAGAAGTCCCTCTAGTGGCTGTCTGATAGACAGCAACTAGGAGGAGGACTTAACCCTGCAAGGTAATTATTCCTTAAGGGTGATGGGAGTTGGTACCCAGACCACTCCAATGGGCAGAAGTGGTCTGGGTGCCTGAAGCAGTGCAGTCTTACTGCTCAATTCACTGCCATTTAGAAGTTAAATTACTTTTGTTTCTGTTTATGCAGCCCTAGCCACACCCCACCTGGCTGTGACTAAAACAAAATGGTTTAATTTCAAATCATATGTTAACCTGCTTTTAAAGTTTTTATCTCCTGTGCTGTAAATTTAACTTAAATCACACACAGTAGGCTCCTGCAGTGTCTAGCAAGTTTTCATTAGATGACCTTAAAGGACCACTATAGTGCCAGGAAAACATACTCGTTTTCCTGGCACTATAGTGCCCTGAGGGTGCCCCCACCCTCAGGGACCCCCTCCCACCCGGCTCTGGAAGGGGGAAAGGGGTAATAACTTACCTTTTTCCAGCGCTGGGCGGAGAGCTCTCCTCCTCCTCTCCGCCTCCGTTCGCCCCGCCCGGCTGAATGCGCACGCAGCGGCAAGAGCTGTGCGCATTCAGCCTCTCATAGAAAGCATTTACAATGCTTTCCTATGGACGCTAGCGTGCTCTCACTGTGATTTTCACAGTGAGAAGCACGCATAGCGCCTCTAGCGGCTGTCAATGAGACAGCCACTAGAGATTAGGGGAAGGCTTAACCCATTCATAATTATAGCAGTTTCTCTGAAACTGCTATAATTATGAAAAAATGGGTTAACCCTAGAAGGACCTGGCACCCAGACCACTTCATTAAGCTGAAGTGGTCTGGGTGCCTAGAGTGGTCCTTTAAGGCAAGTATTTAGGAAGGGTATGTAAGTCGCATGCAGGGAGGCGTGACTAGGGCTGCATAAACAAAGTGATTTAACTCCTAAATGGCAGAGAATTGAGCAGTGAGACTGCAGGGGCATGATCTATACACCAAAACTACTTCATTACGGTAAACTTGTTTTGGTGGCGATAGTGTCTCTTTACGATCACCCTTAGCCCAGTCCTCTTCCGCTGATGTCACTCCCTCCTGATGTAAGGGAGAGCGGGCTGAGAGGATGGCATGAGTGGCACACAGATTCAGTTTTGTTATGTGTTTGTTTAATCAAACCTTTTAGTTTCCTCATTAAAAGGACACGGAGCACCAAAACTACTACAAGCTGTACTGGTAGTAATGCCACCAGGGTCCTTATAAACAACTACAGCAGGGTATTTAACCTTTTCTATACATCTACTGTCACACCTGCTGTATGTGAGTAGAACGTACTGTAACTCTGATCTCTCTCCCTGCTGGACATCAAAGAAAGAGAACAGGAGCTATGGATGGGTGATTTTGACAAGCACTGGTGCACCAGGATTCTTTAGTTGCTGTAGTAGCAATCACACTACACAGGAGAGCAGAGCCTCTGATATTAAGGATTATAGGTGTGTTTAAGTGTGCCTGGGAAGCCCATCAGGGTTACTGTAGGACTGATAAGATGTCTCAGTAGTTCAGGATCTGTTTGTTTCTGTGTGTCAAATAAAAGGTTTTACATTTTTCTCCATGGGGTTTATTTATTCAAGTTTGAAGTGTAGCAATTTAAAGGAACACTACAGTATTTGGAATACAAGTATGTTATTCTCACGGTTTATAAATGCAGAGCAAGAAAAATATATAAAAGACTTTTACTCACTTTTTTCCACAGCACAGTGAAACAGTCTCTGCTGCTGCTCGATTTGTTACCGACATCACAACACTGACCCCTCCTCTTACTCAATGCTTCTCATAGAAGCATTGTGGATTCGAAGCAAATACTGCATCCTTTCAATCAAATCCACTCTATGAGAAGCACTGATTGAAGAGCAGAGTGACTCTGATAGAGCAGGGGAAGCTGCCACTAGAGGTGTTTTTAGCCTTGCAATGAAAGCATTGCCTTGTCTACAAAACAGCAATATTGTACATTACAGGGCTAAAATGCTAGGGAAACTGCACCCAGGCCACTTCATTAATATGAAGTTTGCATTTTGATTTAAATTTACTAAAATGTGGGCTCGAGGGGCTTATTCACGATAATCAAAAACTGTAGTGAACTGAAACCCGAATTCTAAAATTCTGACAGACGCTGATTTGAAGTAATCCTCCAACTGCTGGACTATTTTAGCCTGAATGTTACCATTCCGTTTTAGTTTATTATAATTCAGAGGTTAGTAACCCTGATTGTATCATGCACTTCCTAATTCATTAGTGACCTAGAAATGACAAACTGTGCCATTATCTTCCCCAGATATCTTGGCACCTAGTGTTTTAAACTCCGGGCCTTTCCAGGGTTGTGTAAATATATATTAGAAGAGGCCCAATGATCAGTTAAAATAAAAGAGTTGCAGGCTCAGATAACGCTATTGCACAATTAAATGCGTCAGTAAAGGCTGGGCTGGGCATACAGGAAACGCAACATTTCTACAAAGAACAACGTGGGATATGTGGCTCAAAAACATCTGGACTATCATGGTCAGCCATCACTGCTAGCAACAGGAAGGGGATTGCAGTCTATATCTTAATAGCGCATAATATTAAATGGAAGTTCTTAAGTAACATTGGATCCCACAGTGGTGTGTAGGCAATATTATACATGCCCAATAAAATGGCAAAAACTTTTGTACATAAAATAAAAATAACAATTATCTTCTGGGTAGATAAGAAGAGCTGACAAGTATGGTGACCAAAATCAGGGACCACAAATCACCTTTTATTCCGGTAAAGTTTGCTCTGTGCGCAGTGTTCCAATGATAGAACGCTCCCAGTTCTAGAGACAGGCTGACCATACTAGTTACTGGTCTACATTCTATTTAATACTATTCGATCCCCTGCCTTGGACACCAAAAACCTCATAACTTAAAACTTACTGCGAGTCTGTGGACGGTAGAGCCGCCCTCCGATGCTTCCCAAGGCGGTAACACGTAGTAAATAGCAAGCCCCTCGCCGATTTCTGGGTGCCCACCCCCCAACCACTGGTAGACTTGCTCGGACCTAACCCACTTCTGGGCAAAGACTAACAGTGAGCGGAGACGTGCGGCGCGCTCCCGACACACGAGGAAGTAATGCGTGACGTGGGCAAGAGGGAAGTCATCTGGCTGGGAGCCAAGGAGGCCAGCTGCTTTTACTGAAAAGAAACTTTCTAAGATCATTAAAGGGAAATGGGTAACACCGAATTGCAGAGAGTTAAAAAAAAAAAAAAACAACACACACTGTGACTACAGCTTAATTGGAAGAAAAAAAACATTTGCAGGATTATTCACTCATCTTCTAAATGAAGTGGTCTGTGTGCAGTGCCCCCAGTCCAGTTTTTTTTATTTTATTTTTGAAACTACCATGTTTACATTGCAGGTTTAAATCCACTTCTAGTGGATGCCATACTGACAGAGACTAGAGACGCTATTGCGGCACACACAGGCAGAGACGGACTGACAGTGGCCTGGGCCCCCGGGTAAAATTAGGACCTGGGCCCCCGGCAGACCAATATATATGCGCTACGGAATCTGTTGCTGCTATAAAAAGGCAATGATAATAATATGCTGGTATATAAAATGGTGTATGTACAGTGTATTTGGTTATATATGTACATGTAAAGTGAATGTATGTTTTGTGTGTATATTCACTGTGAGCCTTGGTTTAAGTCAATATATGTATGTTTATGTCTAGTGCCACGATGTGTGGATTCAGAGTAATATAACTATTTTTTTTTTTAAATAGGGTAGTATTTATAGGCCCACTAGAGTGCCAGGAAAACAAACAAATTTTCCTGGCACTATAGGGTCTTTGTGTGCCCCGCAGCCTCTGGGTCCCACTCTCACTGGGCTGAAGGGTGAGGAAGGGGTTAAACTCTCCTCCCTCTTCTGACGTCAGCGCTGAATACGCATGCGCAGCAAGAGCCGCGCACGCATTCAGTCCATAGGAAAGCATTTCTCAATGCTTTCCTATGGACGGCAGCGTCTTCTCACTGTGATTTTCACAGTGAGAAGCATGGAATCGCCTCTAGCCACTTGAGGCTGCAGAGATAACCCTAGATGGACCAGGCACCCAGACCACTTCATTGAGCTGAAGTGGTCTGGGTGCCTACAGTGGTCCTTTAAGTGTGTATGTGAATCATGGCAATGTGTTTATATGAGCAATGCAGGCATCCACATTTTGGGTCTTGAAGTACTAACCATGTGCTTAAAGTTACGAGCCACCTTAAAGGGACACTATAGTCACCAGAACAACTTCAGATTAATGGAGTTGTTCTGGTATGTATAGCCAGTCCTTACAGGCATTTTAATGTAAACCCTGCCTTTTCAGAAAAGGGCAGTGTTTACATTGCTGCATAGGGAGGTGCTTCTCAGGTCAGTGATAGACAATGTGCAGCACTGATGTTCAGTGTCTCATAATTCTGATTATCTCAGTCAATGGGCCAGAGCATGGGCTGAGCCACCTCCGGCGGACCCGTGTGGCCCTGAAATAAAGGTAAGTTTATTACCTTTTTAGAAGGGGCAAGGGGATGCCGGTAACCTAAATGGTATTTCTTTTTTTACACTATATGGTCAGGAATACTCCATGACATCAGTGTGTGGGTGCAGGGACATATTTATATTGAGGGTCTGCATGCAAGGCCATATTTGGATGTAGTTTGTGTGTGAACTCGGGTTTGCATGTGTGGAACAGGGGCATGTAGTTGTTATAAGAGCTGTAGTGGGGAAGGGGTAATAGAGGGAAGCAGGAGGTAATATAAGCTATTGAGGGTGCAGGGGAGGCTGAAGTGGGTAACAGGTGTAGAATATGTAGGGGGTAAAAGGGGTTGTAGGTTGTGTATGGGGTAATAGGGGTTGTAGCATGTGTAGGGATAATAGGGGTTGTAGGTTGTGTATGGGGTAATAGGGGTTGTAGCATGTGTAGGGATAATAGGGGTTGTAGCATGTGTAGGGATAATAGGGGTTGTAGGAATGGTATGGGGTGATAGGGGTTGTAGGTTGTGTATGGGGTGATAGGGGTTGTAGTGGGTAATAGGGGTTGTAGGTTGTGTATGGGGTGATAGGGGTTGTAGCATGTGAGGGATACAGGGGGGTTGTAGCATGTGTAGGGATAATAGGGGTTGTGGTGGAATGGTATGGGGTGATAGGGGCTGTAGGTTGTGTATGGGGTGATAGGGGTTGTAGTGGGTAATACAGGGGCTGTAGGCTGTGTATGGGGTGATAGGGGTTGTAGTGGTAATGGGGTTGTGGTGTGTGTAGGGAGTGATAGGGGTTGTGGTGTGTATAGGGGGTGATAGGGGTTGTGGTGTGTGTAGGGAGTGATAGGGGTTGTGGTGTGTATAGGGGGTGATAGGGGTTGTGGTGTGTGTAGGGAGTGATAGGGGTTGTGGTGTGTATAGGGGGTGATAGGGGTTGTGGTGTGTGTAGGGAGTGATAGGGGTTGTGGTGTGTATAGGGGGTGATAGGGGTTGTGGTGTGTGTAGGGAGTGATAGGGGTTGTGGTGTGTATAGGGGGTGATAGGGGTTGTGGTGTGTGTAGGGAGTGATAGGGGTTGTGGTGTGTGTTGGGGATGATGAATAAAGGGGAATGGATGGATAGGTTAAAAAAAGTTAAATAATGTATCCCCCCTCCCTAAACCTTACCTTTGTCCAGGAAGGGGGTAATCCTTACCCACAGTGGTGCAGAGAGTCCAACCTCCATCTCGCCATGTAAGTGTCTAGGAGAGCTCCCTCCCTGGCCGGACATGGAATTGCGGGCAGGCTGCCAGAAACACTGATAAAGCCGCTCCGCACAGGCTGCTTTCATCAGTTACAGGCAGCCTGCATGGAGGGCTCACAACTCAGGGCAGAGGCTCTGCTCCTTTTTTCTTCCAGCCTAGACAGGCACAGTGAGAGGCAGCCTGGAGGGATAAGGCCCCTGGGCTGTCTCTCAGTGTGCTACAAAGGGGCCGTCTCTACTGACTGTGAGTATAGCACGGCCGACCATGGGGGGAAGCTTCTCTAACAGCAGGGGCCCGCAGAAGTGCTATTGAACTCCCCAGCTGCTATTACATTCTGCACCACAGGCGGGCCCCCCAGAGCCTCGGGCCCTCGGTCCATGACCGATATGCCCGAGTGCTCAGTCCGCCCCTGCACACAGGGTAAAACAATGCTTTCCTATGGGGAAGGCTCGATGCGCTCATGGCTATTACCGCGCATTTACATCAGGTCACCAATGCTCCTCTACGAGGAGCGTTGAATTGGAACATCGTGGAGGTGGCACTGGAATAATATCAGTAAAACTTTCATTATGTTACATTTTATTTCACAAGGGACGGGGGCACTATTGTGTTAGGAATACAAGTTTGTATTTCTATTGTTCATTTTAAACCAAAATAGTAAAGCTGAGACTAAAATAACTGATATTCAATTTGGCTATATACTAACAGGGTTTATGTACTAAACTGAGAATTCTGTCAGCAATACAGAGAGACCCAACATGCACTGTTTAATAGACAACCAGGAATAAACATATACTGGACCTTAGCGTGGCCGGACATTGCGTTAAAGAGACAG